TATATATATATATATATATATATATATATATATATATATATATATATTGTTATGTATTATATTATAATTGTATATGAACTTGTTTTTATATCTAAAAAGTTTAGCTCGCTTATTCTTACTAAATTGTTGTTAAGTAGGCTTTTCAGTTTTCTTTAATTATAATATTTAAATATTAGGCCCAAAAAATGAAGGCTGATATTGTTATGAAGACTAATCAAGATCCATTTGAATATGCCGAATGCTTCAAAAATTTAGTTAATTCTTTTCCCACTGTTGATAATATGATTGAATTATCAAATGCGTATTTAAAAATCCTGGTAAATATAAAATTATTTTTATAGTAGTTTATTAAATATTTGAAACTACATTTAATTCAGATGTTATTTATTTAATATTTTGTATTATTATACTTTTTGTATTAGGTAGTTTAATTTATTTTTTCAATATTATATTTTATACTGTAATTTTAGTTAGTTATTGTAATTATAAAAAACAACTATTAATTATAGGAACCCGATGAGGCTATTAAAGTGATTAAAAATGCATTGAGTTTAAAGAATGAACCATCATTGTTTATAAAAGTTGCCCAAGTATTAGTTGCAGCTCATCAATATGACGAAGCTATAAAATACTATAGTAAATCAGGTACTTCAAAATAAAATATTTAAAAAAAATTATTTTTAATTATATAAATTTACATTTAAAATATTTATATTTTGGTTATCATAGGTAATGATGGTGCATTGGAAATGGCAAATCTTTTGATCAAATTAAATCAATGTGATATGGCAATTAAAGTTTTAAATAAACTCCCATTAGAAGTTAAAGTTATTCCCATGGCAAATGTATGTTTTTTTTTTTTACTATTCTTATTGAATACAGTAAAATCTCCTAATGGCTGACAATATGTTTTAGTGATTATAGATTGCCAATTACTTAAAACAATCTAAAAAAAAATGTACTTTAATATTTTATATATTATTCTTTATTTATGAATTATAATTTAAAAACAAGTTCTCTAAAACAAAAATAATTATTGAAATATTTCTATTACTTTATAATTTTTCTCAATAATACAAATTTAATTTCATATTATTTATTAAAAGTATAAAGGAATGTAGTTGATATCCAAGTTGAAAAATTTAAATGTAGAGAATGTATAATTTTTTTACTTTTAATCCATTTTATTCAAAGTATCATACATTATTTAAGTAGTATAGATTTTACTGTATATTTGTTCTTAATATTGTACATATTATGTTTTTTAGTTATTTATAATATTGTATACATTAAATATTTACAGGCTTTGGAAAAAAAAGGTAAATTAAATGAAGCACTTGATTTGTTAAAACAGTGTTCTTATTTAGAAAACCAAGAGTTAAGCACAAGATTAAATATATTAAGACATAGTGGAGAAATTGCTCATAAGTTAAATCGAAATGATCTTGCTGTTTCTTTTTATAAACAAGCGCTTGTGCATGTTGTTGCTGACAGTGATGAAGCAAGCTCATTAAAGATAAGTTTAGCCAAACTGTATATGCAAGTAAGTTTAAATTAAAAAATATATCATATAATTTATTTATAAATTGGCTCTATCTAAACAAATTATAATAAAATATAATGTAAGAATATTTCATATTATAATATGAGTATTTCAAATCTAAGTTATCAAAATATTTGAACAGACTTACAAAAAGCAGTACATACTATTCATAAAGTAGTGTTTATTGATTCAAACAAATTATGGTTTCTTTATTTTATAGATGAATGATTGGAATTCATGTGAAATGATATGTTCTTCACTGCTCAAAGATACTAACAATGATTTAGCATTGTTAATTGTAGCCGATTTGTCATTTAGACGCTGTGATTTTGTAACAGCCAAAAAACATTTTTATAAACTTTTGGAAAAGCAACCCACCAACTGGGCAGCATTAGCTCGGTTGATAGAAGTCTGCCGTAGAACCGATTGTCTGGAAGAAGTTAAGACATCTATAGCATTCACACACAAGAATACCGCCCAAGCTGGATTTCATTTCTGTTATGGTTTGTATTACTGGTATGCATCAAATGCTAATGAGGCAATGAAACATTTCAATTTTGCCAAAAACGATGCTGAATGGGGACAGCAAGCACTGCACAACATGGTTCAGATTTGTTTGGATGAAACCACATTAAATTTAAACTTAGCCAATAAACTGATAACAGTATGAAAAATAATATAGTTTAAGTAATTATGTTATGTATTAAGATGTTATAAATATATTTATTTTCAGGAGATGAAACCTAATACACCAGAAGAACAAAAAAATCATACTTTGTTATCGACTTATGCATTATTAGAGTCCAAAGAAAAACTATCTGTAGAAAAAGCAATAAATGTTTTTAATGAATTGTCACAGGAATCGTGCAAGTAAATGTCTTGGGCTTTAAAACAATTTTTTTTTTATAAAATATTATTAAAATGTTTTGCATTGGTAGAATTGCTGCTTCATTAGGGCTGGCAATGGCTTTTGTTTATCAAAAACAAGCACAAAGAGCTAAGACAATTTTAAAAAGAGTTGCTTTGAAAGCTATCTGGCAATTTGAAGAAGCTGAATATTTAGAACGCAGTTGGTTACTCATGGCTGAATTATATTTTCAGTCTGGCAAAACCAATATATGTGTGGAATTGGTTAATAAAGTTCTTGTCTACAATAAGTCTTCAATCAAAGGCTTAGAACTTTTAAGCGCTGTGGCAGAAAAAGAACAGAAATATGGTATAATAATATTTTTATAATTTTAAGCACATTTAATTTCTAAAACATTTTACTCATATTTAGACGATGCGGTGGATTATTATGAACGTGCTTGGGCATTAAGTGGATACAAGAATTTTAAAATTGGATACAAGCTAGCTGTTAACTTGTATAAATTAAAATTATTCTCAAAGTCTGTCGAAATATGTTTTGATTTAAACCCTCTAAGTCCAGACCAAGTGAAGTTGAAAAAAGACATAATGGACAAAGCAAGACTATCATTAAGATCACGATAACTAATTGTGTGAAAGTTAATTTATTTTATTATGTTTATTTTTTATATCACCAAAATGTAGTAATTTTCAAAAAATCACTGTACACTCGATAGATTATAATATAATCTATAATCTATCTTATCTATTTTTTTATTATGTTTTCATCACCATACCTTATTTTATTTGGATATATTGATTTTACTTGAACCATACAGACACACATTGACACAAAAATAAAAATAAACGTGTCGGTGTTAGTAATATGGTATTGTACAATGCTCAATCATTTAATGCAAACATTAAATATTTTTTATTAGTTTAATTCTAAACTTTGCTCAGAACCCGCCATAGATTATATGGCTATAAATCTATGGTTTGATGGCTGTGATAAAGAATTGTAGAATAATAAAGTTATTGTTAGTTTATTATTTATGTAATAAATAAGTGATTACTATTTTATATTATTTATTTAAACAGTACAATATTTTATTGTTTTGCAGTGAGCGCGTAAAAGGGAATAAGGCATTATTCAGTTGCCACGATATTTCGTACAATAAAATGTTAAAATGTTCTATGTAAATTTCATGATTAAAATATTTGATTTTTAAAATGTTCATATCTTAAATTAATAATTGAAAATTTTTTCCAGTCAATGCAGTCATACACAAACAAAAACTATTTTTTTTTCGTCTCTTGAAAAGTAGGTAGTTAGTGATTTTTAAAGTGCCTATTCCCTTTTAACAACCCGCATGCCAGCCAATTGGAGGTAGGTGTATACTTTTATATATTGACATATTGTTATCCTTAACATTTTTACAAATATTATCAATATGACAATATAATAATTATCTATAAGCTTATGAGTTGAACCATTATTGTGACTGTTTTTTATTTATTATTTTCCGCTTGTTCTGTAGAGTTGGCGGAGCTTTGACTGTGGGCGGCGGCTTAATATTTTCTTCTTCTATTTTTTCTTCAATTTCATTTTCGGGTGTATTTTCGTCGCTATCTGGTAAATAAGCATTTAAAAGCGGCTTAATTCCACCATTAGTAATTTTTCTCGATAATCTACTTGGAATTCTGGCAATACCGTTGGCGGCAGTCACTACGTTTTCGCCTATAGAAATCGGCGTGGTAATAACAGTCCCTCCCAATTTCGTTAAATTTTTACCCAAATTTGTAGACTTTTGCAACGTGGAATACATTACCTGCGAACCCTCGTTACCAATAACTTTAGCGGAGCTTATTACATTTTTTGCTCCATTTGTTGAACTGTTGCTGAGTCCCGATAACAATCCAAAACTTTCCTTAGCCACATCTTTCACATTGTTCGCCCGGTCTCGTACAAACTTTCCAAAGAAGTCGATTGTATTGTCGGTCCTTTTCATAAGTCCGGTAATACCGTTAAATAAATTGGCTCCCCGTTTGCTGGCTAATTTCTTAGCCGTTTTCACAACTCTTCTACCCGATTCTTTGATGGTCGTTGGCGGTTCAGCTTCATCCGAATCAACGTTGTTTAGATTTATTTCAGGTTTGCTGTCGTCTGGTTGATTGAAAGTCACAGGTTGTTTTACTGATCTAATTGTGATTTTTGATTTCAGTGCGATTGGTTTCATTGCTAACTCATTGTTTGGTTTATCTAATTTTGCTCCGGGTTGGAGCTCTATTTTCTAGATTAAAAAAAAAAAAAAAAAACGGTTATATTTAAATAAATTTTAGTTAATTTACTTTATGTCGACGACTTAATAATAATTTATCAGTTTATTTAACATTATATTATTATATTATATTTCTTGAAACACAAAATGTTGAATACCTAATTTATTATGAGAACATCATTAAAATATTCATTATTAATTACTGTAGGTAGGTACACAACTCCTTACACTTTGAATTTGTATTTATAACATTTAGGTAGGTAACTTATCAATTTAGTATAGGTATTTATGGTTACAACTTACAATAGACGATTACTTCAACATCTCAAATGAGACTGTATAAATCAATATTCTTTGATCTATTTTTATTTATTTTGCTTTTGCTTTCTATTTTTTTGATTAGCATTACCTATACATTGACATTGATTACATTTTCTCATCTTAATAAACGAAATATCTACATTTTTAAATATAAATTGTCTTATGCGGAAGCAATAATGTATTCAATCTTAAAAATTTTATTTTATAACATATTTTTTTGTTTATATTTACCGCTGCTGAAATCCCATTGATGAACACATCAAAAACCTAAAACATATTTATTTATAAATTTTAGAATGACAATATATTATAATAATATAAGTAAAATTAATATTTATTTTAATTAAAAATGATGCATAGTTTTTGTGGTAAAATAAGTATATTGTAATTAAAGTTCTGTGCAGATATTGTGGGTTCTCGCATCTAGCCATTACCTAATACCTACTCGAAATAATCTCATCATAACTCAATGTAGGTAACTAAATTTTGAACGTTTTTAATAGGGCTTACAATATAAACTTTTTTTTAAAAATATAAAATAAATAATGCTTTAAATTAAAATAATAATATTTACATTAAAATGAACATGATTAAATGTTGAATATTTTTTGATGATTTACCAATGTTTTTTTTTTGTTTTGTTTTTTTAAATTAGGTTATACAGTTGTAATTTTCTATCATATTGATTGTTAAAATCCATTTATAACGCGTCTAAGTATAAGTTTTCAGTCCATTTGTACTGAAATGCCAATAAAGCCAAGTTGGAAATTCGGCTATGTTTTATTGATTGCCTTTGAGGATTTTCAAATCGAGTTAAGCAAGAAAATGTCGATTCACAAAATACTGAGCTAGGTACATCTAAATAGGTAGGTACCTACTTCGACTGCTGCTATCACTTCAAATGTACAGACTGGTTTGATGTATCTTAAACATTTTAACATAAGGCACAATGAAAATCTTACCTAATATTTTCTTTCTCATTGCTAACAGTAGCCCTGCACATTGTTCAATTTCATTCCTATTAAATGATTTTTTACGTGATCTATTTCGTTAATTATTGATTTTAAATAATTTCAGATATTTTTAAATGAACTGACCAATGTTGATATAAAAATTCAACTGTATTAATACCTTTGTATAACGACTATTTTAAAATATCAAATATCTATGTATTAAATACTTTATGAATGAACCTATGTCGATCACCGAAGTTCGTCAATTTCGGTTACATTTAACACTGCCTTGACAATTATTGACAATAACCACATAATATAATTTATGGTTATGAGTGTTATGACAATGAAAATATGGAATGGTTCTATTGGGCTTTTTTTTTTATGTTAAAGCGTGAACACTACATTTAGTACACTCATCACGCTAGTGCCATCGTAATATTGGCTAAGCATAAAATCAAGATTGTTATTTAATGATTTGAAATTATCAAGTGTCATTCACACAAAATAAGCAGCGTTTAAATTTGTTACATTTTCGATTCATAATAAAGATTTAAATGGTTTTCAATTTTTTACGAGTCGTATATTTTCTTGTTTTTTTTTTATCTTTTGTACCATCCTCTATTATAAAACACAACGAAATATTTACATTACTTAAATTTTCTACTCGCGACACTAGTTTGCACAGCTTTAGGCATTATTTTTATACTATTATTTATATTTCAGGGAATAAATAAGTAGCATTTTTAAGGAATAACGTAGTGCATTCTGCAAGCTTAAAATTTTTTGTGAGGGTGTAACGAAAAAGTGATTGGAATGAACCTTAGCAGTGTGCTAGGTATACTTTACTTTTCCCAAATGAAAAGTCATCGATAAAAACCGATAAAGTCGCTTCAATGAATCCAATTTAAGTAATAAAATGTTTCATTTATTTCATTCGTTGATTTCAGATTTGATTACTCATGAATCCATAATACGTGTAAAAAAACCAAAAATTAAAAAATTGCCCATTTACTGTACGCCAAATTTAATAAAAATTGAATTAATTTTATAAAAAATGATAATTATTTTTAATATTATCTTTAAATAATAATGATTGATGACGTATTACTTGGCGTAGCGTATCTATGTTTATTGGCATACTGCTGTAGTCAATGAATGGAAAAAATGAATTGAATAAACGTATAAAATACAAATACCTTGTTTAATCGATTAGTCAATCGTCGGTTAAAATAAAAACAAAAGATATAAAAATAATTGAAAATGTAGTATAACAATATTGAATGATTTTGTGTTCACGTTTTAGTCAGGTATTATCGTATTTTCCGGGATAAATGCTAGAATACAGTTAAAAATAACCATTCACCCTATGCAGTGATTTTATTGTTGATGAAATTATTAAGCAATAAAATGCATATTTATAGTAAGTACTAAGTACCTACTTAACCATAACATATCACTACAATAATATACATTCAATATTTTTTGTAGGCCAGGGAAATTACCAGGTCCAGGTAGGCCAATACCCCTTTTTGTCGCATTTGGATAGGGCCTGTGTAGAAGGAATTTTGTTTTAATGTTTCAAACCTTTTACACGCTAAATCAAACTATTGATGTTTAAAAATTTCAATTACCAATAACTGGTATAAAAAGGGCCAAATTATTTTTAAAATTATAATATTTAATGTTTAATAAACTTGCATGTGAATATTTGTTAGTAAATTAAAATACCTAATGATTTTAACTGTTTGAATTATTTATAAATTGATAACAAAAAAATGATTTTGATTGAAAATTCCTATTTTACCTTTTTTTTGTTCGTTTTATTTTCATGATAATTTAGAGAAGTTTAAACCTTCAGCCATTTAAGTATAAATTACATCTAATTTTCTTTCAGAAAACCACTTTATAGTTAAAAATTGTATTTTTACTGTTTTCAAAATCGATAGCAAACATAAAAATAATGAGAATAAAAAAAAAAAAATTACGTAATTGTAAAACCAATATATTAATATTTCCACTCAAAATCTAAAATTATGATAATATTATGTTTGGTTGAAAATGTTTGAATTTATTCTTTTATTTTAAATTTTCAAATCTTAGGTAATATCAAGAAATAAAAATATTTGTTAAACAAAATAAAATAAAATAAAATAAAAACATTAATTATACATACCTAATTTAAAAATTCTCATAGTGTTTAAACCAGGGTTTGCATTTGAAAAAAAAATATTTTGTTATACGCTATTTATAATTAAAACGTTATACAAATTTTGAGTTTATTGTTATTTAGAATTTAAACGTTATTCAACTTTTGTGTTTATCGTTATTCAGAATTAAAATTTTTAGTATATTTTATAATTTATAACTATTAAATAATTAGAAATTATTTACTTTTTTTAATGATATTATACTATAGGTATATAAAGTTTTGTTTTATGATATATATTTTGTTAATCGTTATATTTTGTTTTGTGTTATTTAATTATTTATGTTTTTCGTTATTATTACGTTTACAAATTTCAATCGATTTTTGTAAAATATAATGTAAAACGTTATAATCATAACGTTTTTATAACATTTGCAAGCCCGGGTTTAAATCACGTAAAACATTAATAAATAATTAGAAAAAAATTACCTAATATTAAAAAATGAATCTAATTAATAACAAACCTGTAGAACTGTTACAGCCGTATATATTATGAATTGTGATTTCATGGTTAACCAGGAAAACCAAAAAATATATTTCTTAAATAAATAACTAGGAATTATATTTTATTCTTTTTGTGTCCTTTATATATTGTGTTTAAAACATAAAGTCAAGGTCATTATATAACGGAACACATGTTCATATTCTGCTATATTGTTTAGTTGTAAAAAAAAAAAAAAAAATATAACAAATTGTCATTTGTTGTAAAATATAATGAAAAATGTGTAATATTGTTTTACACAGTTAAAAAATATTAAGAAGTAATTATTAATGTATAGAATTAATGGTTTTTATTTTTAGAACGTATTATTAGCCTATAAGTATTATTATTTTAATCATACAATTAAATGATAATGACTTTGAAGTGGCGAAACATCTACCTATAAGTTTATAAAAAAGCACAGCCGGTGATACATTTAATACTAACATTCTTTAAAAGTGATGAATTATTTTGTTACAATTATTAAACCTGTATATTTTGTGTAATAATACTCACTTGTTATCAAAATTCAAAATATTAATTATATTGCAAAAATGCACTTACAGTTTTGTTAATTATAATGCGGATAATTTAAGTGTTTTAACTTGATAATGTTCCATTTATTTTACCATTCTACAAAGCTACAAGAACTATATAATTTTTATATGCGTAGGTTCATAATTATTATTGATAAATTGTTTGATGGTTAAAACGATGTCACCTCCTTCTGTCATTCTATATTTTTGGATATAATTAGTAAAAGTTATTTAAAATATTTACCCCCAAACTTGAACAAAAAAAAAAATACTCCAAGTTGTGACACTATTTTTGTTTTCCGAGTACTGACAAAAATATTCTAAATAATATTATATTCACTATAACTTACACCATTTAATTTCACAACCATCATTTTAGTAGACAACTAGAGACTATCCATCATATTATTATTTTAATGTATTATTATTCTACCCCCCCCCCCCCAAAAAAAAAAAAATAAAAAAATATTCTACGATGTATGTACCAAAAATAAGGTGTTTATGCGCTAAGCGCAAAAAATAAAATTTTTTACCAAAAGTTGGTAACACTAGCGTATAGCGAAACTTCTTCCCTTTTTTTTTTACGAAAATTGGCTCAACTAAATCTGATGTTTATTTTATATCTGACACACGTTTGCGATGGATGCTTTTACATCGGCCGCCATCACCTCTCGTCCCGTGAATGCTCAATGCAGACTCCGCGTCGTTATTCCTTTTTATTGCATTCAAAGGCTGAAATTCAAATATTCATACATTGAAGACTTTGTGAAATATATGGCATATCTTAAAAAAAATGTAAAAAAGTGATGTAGAGAATTTTTGGAAGAAATTCGTGATGAACCGAGAAGTGAGAGACACTCGATTTTAAACGAGGTGAAGGAAATACTAGAAGTTGTGTTTCGTAAAGATCGACAAGTGCCGGTTCAAGGTTTTGAATGAAGATTTGAGCAATCATAAAGCTCAATTCAATGGTTTTTAAACGACATGGGCTATCATAAGCTTTGTGGTTGTCAAAATGTTGACCACTAAGCACCAACACATTAAAGCTACTCGAGAATTTCTGGCTCAATATGCCGACGAAGGAGAGGCTTATTAAACTCCATAGTAACGAGTGATGAGACGTGGGCTCACTATTTCACTCCCAAATCTAAACAACAACTTCTGAAGTGGAGACATTTACACTTCCAAAAAAAAAAAAAAAAAACAGTTTAAAGTTACGCAGTCTACCCGAAAAGTTATGGCCAGTGTTTTTTGGAACGAGAAGGGAGTTCTCTTGATCGAGTTTATGCCAACTGGGACAATTATATAGTATATACTATAGCTTCGTACTGTGAGACTTCGAAAAAACTTTGTAGAGCTATACAAAATAAAACAAGAGATATGCGAATAGTGTCTCCTGCGTGACAACTGACTACGCACGGCCTTGTGTTGCCCGCGACACAAAAACTCTCTTAGATCAGTTTGTTTGGGACGTGATTACTCATCTCCTTATAGTCCAGACCTTGCACCGTCCGATTATCACCTGTTCTTGAATTTAAAGAAACATTTGGTAGGAAAAAAGATGGAAACAAATGAAAAATTGACGACAAAAGTCACCCAATATCTGAAAAAGAGATGGCGGTGAGTTTTTTTGAGGCTGGAATAAAAAAATGCTTAGTGTGTTTTTAAAAATGCATCCAATTGATTGATGATTATGTGAAAAACTAACTCATATAATATAATGTATATAATTACATTTAAAATATTTTTTTAATATAACTAAATTCGATCATAATTTTATTATTTCAGAGACCTTATTTTGGGACATGCGTCGTATATTACACAATTTATGTTTATTGCGTATTTAGGTACTATAAAAACAGATTAATAGTCAATAATTGATTTAATATTTATACCTTAAGTATACGATGTTGGGCGTAGGACGTTTGCCCATCGTTATTGTTAAAAAAGGCATAGATTGTTTTCCTATATAACATAACAATTTTTATTAATTATTATTACGTTAATTATGATTTCAATACTTACAAAATTATAAATGTATACAAAAATAATTGTCAATATTCAAAAACAAAAAAAAAAAAAAAATTAATACTTTTGAACGTATACTACCATATTATTTAATCATCTTATGAGATTAGATTCGTTTTAAATTGCTAATAAATTATTCATTATTTACATTTATAAAAAAAAATACAAAATTATTAAAATATAGATATAATCTAAATATGTTTAAACCTGTGTCCCATTATACTTAAAAATTGTTGTCGATTTAATTCCCCACTCGTATACTTAAAATAATGTTCGTTTACGAATTGTATATGTTTTATTTCTTTGTTTCTTAAACGGATTGACTCTTCATTCATATTCATATTTGTTTTCACTTGAATCTACTACTGTGGTTCCTAAACTTATAACTCATAAGTCATCAGTTATTAATATTATCGTAACCTATATGTTATCGGTGTATCATCCGGTCATGTATGTCACTATAGTAGGTAACCTTTTTATTTTTAATTTTCGCGATGCGCAAACGACCAATCAAATTTCTTACCTGAAGTACTAATGATGCGCAAACGATAAACACCGACGATATTGTATATGTGACGGATATGTAAAAAAATGTTATGGTTAAATATTGAATTTATATCTAAAATACATTTTTTAAATATTTTCAAAATATTTACTAGACAATCATGCCATTGACGATGAGGACTTAACAACGTAATTATTGAATTAAAAAATATATTTTACTGACATTTTTTTTAAATTTAATATAAACAATCTTGTACTTTCAGGCATAATAGGCTTATGTGATTAGAGTAAACATAATATACTTAATTATAATAGTATTATTTACACAATTAAAATAATTAAATAATTAATAGGCTAAAATGTATGTAAGAATTCATCCATTAATGACACACACTAATTGACTTTTTATTTTTTTTTTATACCAAACTGGTGTTATGTCTACGGATTTCTGATGGGAGGGGTAGGGAAGTAGGTTACGACTCTATTTCCGTTTAAGACGTCTGAGTGGGTTTCCAGGAATAGTAGGGATTGCGAGATTTCGTATTGAAGAGTTGTTATTGGAGGTAAGACAATAATTGTAAAAACGTTGATAATTAGCTTCTTCATGCAATAATTTTATTTTTAGATCGAAGCGAATAGCGTAATTTCAGACGTAAGGAGGGGCATTTAGAAGTTTTCTGAGTGTTAAATTTAAAGAGTTTGTATTTTATTGATGTTTGATTTTTTTTACATCTTCGTTTAATTGTATACCATATGTCCAGATTAGTTTGATTAAAGATTTATATATGAACAGTTTTATATTTATATTAGTATATTTGTTATTGTTGATAAATGTTTTGTGAAAGCGTAATCGAGTAATTAGGTTTAGTCGTTTAGATTTAATATACTGCGCCTAGGTTAATATGCGATCTAGAGTTAGCCCAAGATATTTTACTGTTTGAGCATTTGGAATAGAGATGCCATGAATAGTTATAGCTGGGCAGAGTTTTTATCTAAGGGTAAATGTATAATGCACGGATTTTGATTCATTCATTTTTTAACCGATAATTGGTGTATCATTTCTCCATAAGGGAGAGGTAATTTTGGAGATGGTGAGAAGCAATAACCGGGTCATGATTTATTGAGATTATTGCTTTATCGTCAGCATAATCGGCAACTAGTGTGTTCGGGGAGGTGGGTTGATCAGAGGCGTAGATGTTATAGATTATATAATATGTTTTAATAATCATAACTTTTCTCAGTTTTCATGAAAAAATAAATAAATGTAACCTATCAGAAAACCTGCAATCAAAATACAAAAGACAAATAAATTCAGTATAACAATAGATAAAATATATAAGAAATTATCATCATTACAATAAATATATACTAAAATTAATTATGAATATATTATAAATATGTATGTATTTATAATAGTTATTTTATTCTCTCATAAAAAAAAAAAACTTATCATTAATATTATGCCTTTTCTTACACCTATCATATTAAAAAAACATTATTGTTCAATTTATTACCAAATAAAAAATTCAAAAAACTATAATATGTATGACCTATCATATATTATCACTACTGGACTATGACTAATAAAAATAAACCTTATTATACGTATAGGATTACAAGAACAAAAAGAGTTAATATGTTAATGAGATTAATAAATAAAATTTTATAAAAAAAACATATCATTATACAAATAATATGTGAGTGCATAGTTTAAAAATACGAAATGTACGTGCCATTGGGCCAATAAAGTGTTGATAAAACTAATTTCAACAATAGTCATTGGAAATTTAGGTCAACGAAACAAATGAGTTGAGCCAACAAAATGTATATTATAATATTTAAGGCAACAAAAATGATAGGACGAAGTATCTCTAAAATCGTAATACGTGTTCAGAAGATATTTAAATGTGTTTTATAAATAAAAGTTTTTAAAAGTGTTTGAAATTGTTTGTGTTTTTTAAGTGTCCTTAACTCCTTTGAGTACATATACGACATAATGTAAAGATAATAAGCTTATCGCCCGTAGGCGCGAGTTAGGTTTGCGATGCAGTGTGCTTTAATGGAAATTGTACCTTATTAAAATGTCGAAATATATCACCAGTATGTAAAGGCGTAGCGTAATTACTACGAAACTGTTATTGAGCTATTAAAAACCAGTACACGGAATTTAATATGTAGCTTCTACAGTGTCTAGGCTCGTACTGAATGAAACGTTTAAATAAATATGCATTGAGCATTTACAAATATTAAAAAATATTTTTTAAAGAATTTTGATAGAGAAACAGAAATTATATTATTAGATGCAAATTGTAATTATTATACATTCAATTTAGTAAATAAACTATTTTTTATTGCTTCATCAGCTATTGCATAAGTTTATTGTTCTAATAGTAAACTGTTCATGCTTCAATGTTGAAAAAAAATAGTACTCTCATTATTGTTGATTTAAAAAAGTGAAATAAAAAATTTTGATGATTCATAACTAGATTATAAACTTACAAACAATACTATAAATGCATTAAATGTGATTGTGATGATAATGATAAAACAGCTAAACTTTTTCAAAACCATGTATTTGGTTCATTGATATAACAGGGGATAATGCATAGTTTTAATTGATGGCTTACTCATCAATAGTTCTGGTTCATAATACAACAAGATAAACAAACTGAATAATTAAATATTTTATAATAATATACCAAATGCAAATGACTAAACATATTTATCATATTATATTTAGATTCAAATTTCATGGCGTTGCGCGTAGCTTATGGTAAAGATCACTATGTACATATCGAATATAAAAAGAGGAGAAACTTGAAAAAGTCATAATGATAATTAAAAATAAATAATTAAATTCAATGAGCAAAAAAAACATGTTTATTATAAAAACAAATAATATGAATAATAAAAAGGTTTATAAATATATATAATGATTTTTAGTATTAACTCAGATTTAATCGTCATCGTTTCGCAAAATCAGTCGAGTTCACTATATTTGCTGCATAGCTTTCTACCAAATATCAGAATTCGCCTCCCTAGTCGTGACAGGAACGACTTACGCCGGATAGGTTGACATTTTTGAGCAACTTCTGACTGTAAATCGACCGTCGAGATAGCTGTCTCTCGTCTATCATCGTCACTTTCGGTGGTATCGCCTGTAACCTTTTCCATGTCACTATGGTCCTCGACTATCGTACTCGAAGACTGCTGTCTTTGCATTCTTTCCAAATGGTCAAAAACCACCGATGGATTGCGTAACTCTGTAATCTGTTTGGTTCTCGTTTCCAAGTAGAGTTTTGGTCCGTCAACACCATGGTTGGCCAAACTCTCGAAACCGAGGACTTTTATGTGCGCATTATTGTTACCACTGAAGAAAAACGTCCGCACTATTTTGGAATTACACCGCAGAAAAACCACCGTCATTGGAAATTTGAGAGAACTCTTAATAGCCGACGCACATAAGGCATTAGAAAGCTCTGCCGAACTGCCGAGGCATAAGGGAATTGCCGGAAAGTTATTACTGTGTATTTCACCGATGAATAACGACGTCGACGATTCCCCCGGAACGCTCTGTGGAAAACTTATCATCAATGACAATTTCAACGATCTAGATATTGTTGTAGTTCATGAGGTGTTCGGAATTCTTTGTAAAGGATCGATATCGGCGTGAGTCATGATGTTATTGTTACGATGTTCAATTTTTGGTATCGTTATCAAAACGTGCATCACAGACGTGGACTGCGGTTGTGGTTCTGGCACGTTTTCCATATGACAATGCATGATCGGCGTGATGGATTCGGCGCTTATTGGTAGTTCTAATTCCAGACATTCCGACGATTTCGGTATACTCTCATCATTCGTTTCATCCGAGGAAAATGTTTCGGCCGGTTCGTCAACCTTCGTTTCAGAAATAGTTACTGTCATTGGCGAGCTTGGTGGCGTTTGTCGGGCTTCTTCCGATGCTGAAGTTTCGGCCAGCAAGTCCAAGAACTCGAGGTCTTCTGGCGACAAGATATAATCTCCTTCTTTTTTCCATTTTAGATTAAGGAAATTGATTAATAATAAGATCAATTAATATTGATTATTATGTATGCTGAACAAGACTGTTGGTAACCCGAGAATATTCCTTCCTCGAAATATCGTGTTGATTTAAAATACATAAACATTCAAAGTTATATATCTATGACAACAAAAAAATATTCGATTCAATATTGTATAATAATCAGCCACTTTATTTTTAAATAAATTACGATGTATATTTTAAATTGTGATTGTTATTGATTGAAGGTGAACTATGTACTATAAAAGGTATAATTATTATGTCCTATAAAATCAGTCATTTTAAATTTCAATATTTTCAGCAAAAATAAATTCTATCCTGGAGTTTAAAGTTTTTCTCTTAAACAATCTGATATTTTAGAAAATATCACTTTTAGGTTCTGAGCTTACGATTTCAAATAATTAATTATATATCTAATTCAACCTATATTTTAGAATATAGAGCACAGGTGAAACGATTCCATCTTGAGGAATATCCGCCAAGATTTTGGCTATACTGGAAAGAATTTCACCGAAACGAGTACTGAAATATCTGCCAGAAAGATAAAATTTAATGATCAGAAAGTAGACATGATCTAAATGAGGTTTTTTTTAACAATAATTTCATGAATGTGGACTGGCAAAGTAGGAGTTTTAGAATGATTAATAGTTGTGACTTGTGACTGTAGTTGGCCAAATCGCAAATCGAATGAGATTTGTGAGATTGTTAACAGCTAGATCTAGGTCGTAATTAAATTTTAATATAATGTTTAATTTGATTTTTTGATCAAAAAAGTCATGAAATTTGGTTTTATTAGTGGTATAATCAAATAATTTCGAGGATTCCTGATGAAGTGGAGAAGACACATTAAGCGTTTAGTAGTATTGAGGAATGATCAGAATTTAAGTCGAGAATATTTTCCGACTGAATAATAACAATTGAAATAATTGTAAATGGTAATACAATTGTAGGTTAAGGTCTTTTCTATTTGTAAATATTTTTTGGATAATTCAATAAATGGGAGTATCAAATAAAAATCTTGTTTGAGGTATAGAAAATTTAAATCAATTTTTTGTATATACATTTTTGCATTTTTTAAGGTGTTTTTCTTTAATTTTCTTTACAACAATAAAAATATTTGTTCATAACAATGAATGGCATATAAAAATGTATGTATATTATACCAATGTTTTTTGTTTTCCACGCTATAAGGTTTGCGCTTCTCATCAACGATGACAATATTTATAATATTATATTGTTAGCTTATGTTTTTGTTTTTATATTAAAGAAATGGATGATGTTGGTTCTTGGTATGAATCAAATATAATGTTATATACAGAAAAATTGACACTAAAAATTTCAATAATTCGGTCAAACATTGTTTGTTTTAATACACCAAATTAATTGGTACATAATATGAATATTTGCTTTTTAGACTTAACCAACGGTCTGTTGTTATCAGTGAACTTATGTAGTTATGTATGCAAAATATCATAGCTTATTAAAAGTAAATTTGTATTGATGTGTGTTTGCTATCAAACAAAAGCATTGTAAAATAAAGTCAAGATATCAAATATATATTATATTGTTATTTGTATTAAAAACAATTGAATATTTAGACAGTATGCGAAATTGCAAACCCCACAAAAAAATGAAAAAAAATACCTCATTTTAAAATAATTACTTATTCCAAGAAATCCAAATTTTAAATGCTAAATGTACGATTTATAATTTTTGATTCTATTCGTACCTTTTTTTTTCGCTGTTTTCTCAAGGTTAACGTTTTTTCAAAAAATTCAATAATAATAATTATGATCACACGGCGTTATGAGTAGGCAATTTAGCTACATTACTACCGTGAATAAATAAAATTGCTTTAGTATCTATCATAGCATAACTGTAAATCATAATATCATTATATTATTAGATTTTTGTTTTCGGTATTATCTGTTTAATATAAGTAATTATATAACAAGGGACAACGTCTTCAGATAGTTTCTATTTTTTTTATTTTGTTACCGTCAGTGATTGTGGTTGTTACTAATTATTTATATACAATCGTCGATGAATACGAATAATGACTCGTTAGAATGTATGAATAATTTTACAAACTTACTTGGTTTTAAACAATACGTTTAGGGACGAACGTAATGGAGTTTCGGAGGTTCGAATCCTTGAAATATCAGGAAATTTTTTTTTTAAATAAATTACATGATTTAAAAATCGAACAATTGTTATATACAGTTTCTCGTTAGACTTACTAAATAAAATAGATGGGTAAATAATCTTTGGTCTGTAAATTTACGTATAAAATAAAATTATCATTACACTGGATAATATTTTATATTTTTTGATACACATTTTGTGCAGAATTCGCTTACAAATTTCCTGTATCGGATCGTGTTTTGAGTTGCTCAATATATTTTTTTATCCCAATAATTCTATCGTAATATAATCTAATTTCATCGTCTTTCATTTAGATGATTAGAGTCACGGTATTAATGTCGGTAGTCTACAACCAATACATCATCATTGCTTAAATTTCAAATTCATCTTCACCACCATTTTTGATACAAAACAATGATGACTTGAAAATATTATAGTTTTGTTTTGAAACAAAGAAGATTGGCTAGAGGATTTAGTTGTAAGTGCGATGGTTGTAATAGTATAATATAAATTATTTTATAAAATATATAATTTGGTGTTCGTATAGGAATAAGTTTTTAGTTTATAGCATGAAATACAGCATTTAATATATATATATTAAATTAACTCTGTTTAAGAGAAGGGGATTTATTATTTTAAATAAAAAATATAAAAAATATCTTATTGGTTTATATAGGTACTATATTGAGTGCGTGTGTTTTTTTTCATGGATAATTTTATGTAACAAAAAATGCATTCATTGATGTGTAAAATTGTATATCGTGTTGAGAAAGACTTATTAAATATTAATTATGCAAGTATTATAAATATTAATAAATTATATAAATTACTAAGAATGAAGCTTTAATTTTAAAATTATTTTAAGACACTCAAACCTAAAGTTATTATGATTACTATAATGTTTTTATTAAATTATTTGAATTTAATGTTTATATAACGATTCCAGTAAAACTACAGTAATTATTTTAAATACACAATAGAACATGTGTTTGGTATAACTTATAATAATTGTAGTTTACAATTATATTGTTATATATATTTATCATCAACACTAAATTTTACATAATTCCTATTTAACCTACACAAAAATAATTATACAATTCAATGTTTTTGTTTTTAAAAATGTAAAAGAATTAGGTATTTTTTTTAGTGATTTTACAATTTTGTTTTTTCTAACATGAAGTTTAGTATTATTATTTATTAGTTTATAGCATGTTAATGGTAAAACAATAAAATATATAATACGTGTTAAATTATATAATATATTAATAATTAATTAAAATGTAAATTCTTATTAAATACACATAGTCTAATATCATTGAAATTTTATTTTAAAAAGTTTAAGAAAATTATAATGGTTTAAGTTTCCAAAACCACCTTATATGTATTACATTTTTCATTAATGTTAAAATAAAAACTTTAATTTTTTACATCCACATTCATAACTAATTTTATCGATTATTTATATTGTTTAAATATAATCGCTTAGATATTTTAGGATAGTTAAAACCTACTTCTCAATCATGTTACTATAAAAATATGGAAATATAGAAGTGTTTATCTACACACACATTTAAATCTTTTGATCCACTGAACCTTATACCTCATTATTTTTCTCTATCAAATTCACTTACTCCTTCTTTATTTTGTCTACCAAATTTTATAAATTCAATTGAGCCACTAAACTTTCCAC